TTTGCTACTGTGTCACAGGCCTTGAACACTGTTTAAACATAGCAGGCTCTCAGAACAGAATGAAATGAATGAATAAAAAACTAATTTTATCTTTTTTGCCAAGATTACCAAATTTTACAAAATATAAAGCATTTCAACATTTTATTAAATGGAACTCTGTTAAAGTTGACACTCAAGTCAACCGAACCTTGCTTTTCATTTAGGAGTTAAACTTTAATTTGAACACTGCCATCACTAATGCTAAAAGTGCTGGTCATTGGCAACTCCACTAGGATGACCTTAGAAATACAACCTGGGGGCAGACGTCATATACATTTGAACTATTCTTCCAACTTGTCCTTGAAGAAGACTGCTAGTTTATTACACATCCACCTCTAAGTAAGAGAATCTCCAACTTTCTACTCTCAACAATGTTTTCACCACCCACTTTCTCTTTAAAATCACTAGGCATTCTCCCCACTAAATAAATGTTCCAAAGCAGGTCAATATAAGAGGTAAAGTAATATTTAAGTACTTTTCCACTTAGCAATTTCACATTACCTGAGTTGGATCAATCACAAAATCATTTACATACCCATGAATTAAAACTTGGGGTAATAAAAGGAGATTGCTTTATAATGTGATACACCTCATTTAATAATTTCTTCATTAAATGATTCTAATGTGTTTTTATTGGTTACACAACATTTAATGGAATACAGCATACTGATTGCAAATATACTCTCTCCCTGTTTAATTTAGACTAATGAAAATGAGTTTTATCTTTCTTAAATATATGCAGTCAAAGGAAAGACTTCCTTTGTAATTAAGACAAAATCCTTCCATACCTGTTAAAGTCTTACAGCCATTTAAAATAAAAACATGGCAATAAAATGCCGAGTCAGTAGATAAATACTTTATAAATCTGTGAATCTTACAAGATTGTTCATATATTTACCAACTTCTGTTCTTAAATCTTTACCTACAAATATAAAAGGCCAAGAAATTGGTTTTAATTTTCAATTTTATTTAAAAGTAAAAAAGATAATAATATATATTTCTTCATTCTATAAAGCATAGTCCTCAAAATAATCATATCAAATATGCATCCCATACTCTTAAAAATAAATAGTCCTACAGTTTCATTTCTATTTATAACATAGCACTATAAAAGTGTTGATATATAATAAATTTTATATTTATATGAAAATGTCCATTTCAGAGATATTAAAGTAAAACAAGGGACTGGGGAGCTGGCTCAGCAGTTAAAACCATTTTTTTTTTTGCTCTTGCAGAGGACCTGGGTTCAGTTCCAATTACCCACAACTATCAGCCCACAAATGCCTGTGACTTCAACTCTAGGGATCCAATGCCCTTCTCTGCCTCTACGGGCACCAGGCACACACCAGGTGCACATACATACATGCAGGCTCTTACACATGTATATAAAATAAGAATAGTTTTTTTAATTAACTAAATAAAACAAAACTACCAATGACTACCTAGCAAGCAGAATAAACAATTTTCACTATTTTATTTCGAATAGGTGTGTGATATGAAAGGACACCATTCATTCATAAAACAAGCACTCACATGGGACGCAAAACAAACTTAACACTTATCATTACACTTTATTGTAAAGTTATTATTCTTGAAAAGTATCAAATATATTTGTCTCTGGCAAAAGTTGGAACTATTCAGAACTGCAAGTGGAAATGAGGTAGTTACATCAGAAAATACATAGATGGGGATTGAAGGGACTCTGGCCAGCTCCAGCGTTCCAAACATGGCACTGGCAGGCCTTGCCCTTCTCCCCAGTCCCTCTGCCTGAAAAACCATTAGACTATATTCCTAAAGCTAGCCACAGAGATCTATTCCGTTATTTGACCACTTCCTCCTCCTGAGACTGACTACCAAAGCCCCTTTGGTTCACCTAATAAACATGTCCAAATAAGATTAAACACCGCATCCTAACACGAGGTTTCCACTTTCGCCTTCATAAACAGCCATTTGCTTATGTGCCATGTCTGTCTCCTCTCTATCCAGAGGCAGTTCTTCGTCCCTCTGGGACAAATACCCCTTCCCCCTTTTCTTTGACCCCTTCCCTTCTCCCTCATCCTCTATCTCCTTTCCCGCCACATCTCAGCCCATCTAACGCAGACCTCTCCTTTCTATCCTCTTAAAAATTACACCTGCAAGGTCATTTGCTGTTGTTTTCTGCTGAATCACAAAGTAGCCACGTTAACCTTTTTTCCCTGATTAACAAAAGATCTCTCTGTGAAAACAGATGTTTTAAGCATGGTTTGTGCATAATCTAGGGTCTGAGAGGAAACCCCTTCTGTGCAGGATATATATCAATAATGATAAATATATCAAAAGAAATACAGAACTTTTTTCAGACTAATCAGTTATGAAGCATCACCACTACCAGCCAGGTTTTTAATTCTGATTTAGAGCAAAGCTGAAGCTTGACAATGGAACAGTAGTGCAGTAGCTAAGAAAGAAGGGAGGGAGGAGGGGAGGGGGAAGAGAGGGAGGGAGGGAGGGAGAGTGGGAGAAAAGAAAAGAAGAAAGAGTTAAAGTGGACCTCAGGTGCTCTGCTACTCTGCAACAGAATATAGTCTCTAGTCTTCACTGAAAATTCTAGAAAAGGAAAAGTTTGTTAACCCTGCTGTGCTGTTTTCCCTCATATTCTCCAAAGGTTCAGTGTGAGTTGCTTGCTCAGTGACAGCACGCTGGCTGTAGAAGACTACTGTCCTGCTGTCTGTCTGATCCGCGGTGCACTCACTGATGTACCCTTACCTTAGTTAGCACTTCACTTTTAGACCAATAATACTAAAAACAGTCCCATCCCAAATTTTAGAATCAAAATCATTTTTTATGTCAGGAAGTTGATATCTTTATTATGAACACCTGTTACTAATACAGTCCTTCAAGACTATCTGAGGCTAATGCATTTCTTCATTTCTTTTTTGTTGAATTTTTGGAGGTCTCACATCATGCACCCCAGTTCTGTCCACCTCCCAGTCCCCCATATTCTCCCCTCATCCTTTTGCATCCCCCCACGAAAGAAAACAAAACAAAGCAAGCAAACAAAAGCAAGAACTAAAAAAAAAGAAAAAAGAAAAAGAAAAAAAACAAAGAAACCCATTAAACCAAAACAGAACAAAAGACCCACCCAAAGCAGCAAAAATTTCTGTTTCTCCCTCTCTCCTGCCCCTCCACTGCCTCTTCAGCTGTCCTAATGGCATTGGAGGCTTCAGTATGTCATATAAACCCTTTGGTCAATCAGTTTGACTGGTAACTGTCCATTGCAATGACCCAAGGCCTCTGATTTTTGGCACATCACTCTCACCTCACTTCACTGGAGCTCTCCTGGGACATCCTGTGTCTTGGAGATCTCACAGACATCATTCTGCAGAACCAGTCCCCTCACTAGCTCCAGCAGGACCTAAATGGGGTAGATGCTAGGGTGGGTCAACCCAAGGCCCAGTTGTGGGCTGGCTGTTAGCCAGTCAGGTCAGATCAAGTCCCTGTGTCCAGCTGCCTCAGGTGCAGTGGCGGAGTCAACTTCCCTACATAATTATCCTCAGGACAGGTTCATCCTCGCCTGTGGTGAGTCATGGAGGCTCTCTCTCCTGAGTGCAGGGGTCGGCTCTCTTGTTGTAGTGGGCAGCAGAGGTGAGGTCAGCTTTCCCAAGGCAGTAAACGGTGGGAATGGCTGAGTATAGCCCTCTGCCGTCTCACATGATTCCTAAGGCCTCCTGACATGCCACTGGTCACAGACGTCAACACAGACACCAGCTGTGGCTGGACCATGAACCCAGACATGGCCCTTGGTAGCAGCTGAGGCCCAGAGAACATCCTGACACTGGGTGGAGGGAACAGTCATTCAGCTGGGAATGATTCCAGCAGTTGTGTGGTCACCAGACACTACCAAGGACTCAGATTGTGACCTCAACCCTGAGCCTCTATGGGACCATTAGTGGCAGTGAAGAACCCAGACTTCAGGTCAGATCCCAGCTGTGGTAGGACCACAAACGCCAACATGGTCTTTAGCAGCAGCTGGGTCTGGATGTCACCACTGCCCCAGTGGCAGTATGAGACTGAGACACTCACTTAGCCCTTGATTTTGGATGGGTGCACAGACCCCTCCTGCAGTGAGGTCACTCTAAATCATTTTTATAACTCTCAACTTTCAAATATATATTTCTCTGTACCTTCGCTGCTGGATTAGTCACTTCTCTCACTACCGTGACCTAATTCTGACAATAAACAATTTAAGGAGAAAAGGGTTACTTGAGTTCATGTTTTGGGCAATGCAACCCAGGATGGTAGGGAAGGCATGGTCACAGGACCAGCTCCTATCCACGGCACATGAGAAAACTTGCCATCATCTCCCTGGACCAGGAAACAGAAAAGAAAATGCCAGTATTCAGCTGACATTCTCCTTTTTCATCTTCATCCATCTCAACGCCTCAGCCCCTCAGAGGCCACCATCCTCACAATGGCAGGCCTTCCTGCCTCGGGTAATCCTGTCTGAGAACACACGCACACACTTACAGGTGCGCTTCACCAATGCCTTGGGCATTTCACAATTTCAATAAGTTGACAAAACTAACCATTGAGATGGCATTCTTGACATTCAAGAGTACCCAATAAGTTTACGTAACTGGCATGTATTTCTTGTATTATACTGATTTCCAAATTGGAGGATAGTGGCTTTCTCCTTTAACAACTTTTTACATGCTAAGAGTTCTGTTTTTTCACAAGACAGAATACCAGATGAATTTATTATCTTAACTAAAATTGATAAAATGTCTTTGGAATAATAAGGAGACATAAACCTTAGACAAATTTTACATTTGAAAATGAAAAGTCTCACATTTTTCACTATTCCCTGTTTTCCTTTGGAGGGGAAGCCTGTGTACTTTGATGACCACCACCATGAAGTGACTGTGGTCATCTATTCAGTATGAAACTGTGACTTCCCCTCAGCCTCAAAGAACAGTCATCCTTACCTGGCCCATCATCGATTTTCCCCAGACACCGAGGAGTTGCACTCAAGAATGAAGAATGCTTTTTTTTAGCCACTGAACTACGAGGTGGCATGTAGTTGTGCTTAACTTGAGACATATCATACGATTTCTGAACATCATAGCTGCCTGGAGCTGGCATCATCTAGAAAAAAAATGTGAGAGACAAGCATAGGCATACATTATATATGAAAGACATCCAGCTACACACTAGATAAGCATTCACTCTTAGCAAAAGCACTGCTTATAAATATATGAAAATGTCTTTAATTACAAACAAAAATTGTAAAGTAGATTCCACAGAATCATGTTTATAATACAATTAAAACGCATTGTCCAAAAGTAAAGGAAACAGAATCATGAAATTAAGTCCAGAATACTTTAAAGAGTAGACCTCATGGCATTGATCAGATGTCCATATTCAACTTTAATGATGAACACTGAATTCCATACAAGACTCAGAACAATGAGGATGTGTTTTCAGACAGCAAAGCTATCCCTGCCTTACTATTCTGAACCAGCATACTTGACTTGTTCTGCAAATGAGGCTGCTTCTTTCATTTTTAATAGGTTCCAATTAAGTTGGAAAGCTTCTGCTTTCATCATTTACTGTTCTTTATATGATATGCAGCTACATTTGCATTTTAATCAATATGAACCACATATTAACTATAACAATAATTCTAAACTAAAATACAAATGCCATGTACTAGGTACATAATTAATGCCTTAAAGTATTACCTAATTATCTCAATGAAAACTTTTTTAAAAAATTCTGCACAAATTATTTCGTATGCTATATTATTTTTTAAATCAATTCACCTACCATATGCATTAAAAACTAAAACATTTGGGGGCTGGAGAGATGGCACAGTGATTAAGAGCAATAGAACTTCCAGAGGGCCCAAGTTCAAATCTCATTACCCACATAGTGGCTCCCAACCATCTGTAACTCTAGTTCCAGGGGATCTGACACCTCTTCTGGCCTTTCTGGACACCAGGCATGAACATGATGTACAGACAAACATGTAAGTAAATACCCATACACATAAAAATGATAAAACACTAAAATGTATAAGTTTTAATGATTTACTGAGATACAAGGGAGTATTTTGGTTAAGCGTGGATTTCAACTATCTGATGCTTGTTTGCTGTGTGGCCTTAAGCTAACCACTCAACTTTGTGACCATCTGGCTATTTAATAAAATGAAATCATTGTATAAATAATAGAGATAGTACAAGGACAAAACAGGTCTACAAAAGTAAAACACGAGGACTTGACTGTACAGGAACACTAATGCACCTTACCATTCTAGAAAAAACTAACTCAATGTAAGTTCAAACAGAAGGCTAACCAAACAGAGTTTAGGTTACTTGAGTTATTGGTGCTTTTTTCTACAGAGAAAAAAAAACTAGTTATGCTTACCAGAAAACTTATTCACTGTTTGCTTATTAACCTGACTTATCTTACTTATCTTTAATCTGCATCTTACCTGAACAAGATATTAATTGTTAAGTAACTGTCCCCAGACGACGCTTAGTATGACTATTGTAGAACTCTGTCTAGTAGCAAGAATGTAGTTATTCCAGTATTTAGTGCCCTAAATGAGTTGAGCACCATGGCAGGAAAAGAATTCCATGTACACAAGAACATGCCACCTCTCTTGTGATCCTTAGGTTTTTATTCAGCTTACAGCCCCAGGTAACTGCCATCACTGCTGGGAAGTCACTGAGTTAACTTGAGGCAACTAGAGGCATCCACAGTCCAGAAGAGAGACAGACTAAGTGCATGCATGATTGCAAGAGTGCAATCACTCTCCTCTTCACTTAGTCCAGGGTCTGGCCCAGGACATGGTGCCACTTCAATTGACCCAACTAAGAAATTCCTTCACAGACACAACAGGCAATCCCAGTTCAGACACTTCCTTATTGAGACTGTCTTCCCATGTTATTCTGGATTGTGCCAAGTTGACATTTAAAGCCCACCACCAAGCCTACTATTTGAACCCTGGTCATGTATCAGTTGAATTTCCTTTCCAACACAAAAAGCTAAAAATATCTGATTCTCATTTTCCTGATCTCATTTTCTTTTAAAACTAGGACACAAATCTAGGTCATAGGCTTAAACGCTACCCTTTCAAAGAAGCAGAGAACATTAACATTTCATGCTAGTGAGGAGCCCAGCAGAACTAGTGGGTACTCTTCCCAGGGACAGTAGACAAAAGCAGAAATGAGAGAGCAAATGAAAGATACAAGAGGTCTGATAAAAAAGTGAATGTCAAGCTCCTGACCTCCTCCTCCAAAAGTTAAGGACCCCACCGAGCACTGGTACAGTTAATGTTTGTAGGATTCTTAGAGAGGCATGCTGGGGCTTACTGTGATCACTACCATCACAGTCACCATCTTCATCAGGATGGCCCTGAAGAAACCCTCAATGAGACCCCCACATCAGAAAAGAGATACGGGCTGGACATTGATATGAAAACCCTCTAGTATGTTAACCTGCAAACAAAGAGGACAAACAATTAAATTCCAGGAAGTAAACAAACTCACTGACTCCAACCACCTTTCAGGTAAGGGAGTCAACCTGCTAGCACTCTGTACAAACCATTTCATAAACTTTGTGACATCATTCAGTACTCTCTAGTTCAAAATCCATGGGAAAGTACTCATATTCAGAACTGCTAAAGTTGCTCACTTTACAACCCCAGGTGCCAGTTCCTGATGTCATCCAAAATCAGAATTTTCAAATTCCAGTGCTTGCTGTGACTTTGACATACGGAATTTCCTGTATGCTCTTGCCCCAGCCATGAGGAAGTGTGCATGGGTTCTGATCTTCCAAAACCATAGTCACCAGCACTGACTTCACCGTTAGTACCCTCAACCCAGCTAAAGACTCAACTGAGCATCTCACCCATCAGTTAGCTCTCGTGCTGTAACAAACTGGAAACTGGACTTGAGTAATCTATATTACTGTGGACTGCTCCTGCGATCCAGGATTTCTTCTGGGAGCGTGCTAGAATGGATTTCTGAGGATAACGTCAAAAAAATATACATGTGGAAGCCTCATCAACTCAGTAAGAATTCAAGACCCTCAGAATCTCACAGCAGTATCAGTCTCTCTTCTCTGAAATGGGCAGAAATTGCTTTGGGCAAATTCAGCTGGTTAACACCATGATGGACAGACTGGCCACAAGTTGAACCTGGAGAAACTGGCCACTAGGATGCATAGCAATCCTTGTGTTACATGACCGCTCGACCTTTTATTCCTAGTTTTCAGGCTAGGTGGTACAGAGAGCCACTGAGCCAAGAGACCTAGTGTTACTGCCATCAGGAACTCTTGGGGGAAAATCACACCCCATAGGACTCTATCTTTCTCCATAGCTCCTGAATGTACTTGTATCAGCCATTTCAGCACATTTCATGGCGGCTGCCAGATGGAAAGAAAGGAAGCTTTTTATTCTTGGCATTCGTTACTTAGGCTATTTATTGCTTTCTCTTAAAATACAGCACTACAGGATGGCCTGTGAGATTCCACCTTTTAAACCGCACCTACCTAATTAGGTGAATGTAATGAATGCCTCTGCTTGTGAGTTCCGTCAATCTTCCCTTTACCTATGTGTGCAGCTGTGCCTTTGCAACTAAGACTGGATTGTTCTGGCAAATTTAACCTTTGAATAATACTGACAGAGACCATTTCTTTATAAATTGCTTTTTATCTCAAAACTGTTACTGATGTATCAACTTGGTAACATTTTAATCTTAGTTTAAGATTACAGGAGAGCTGCAAAGACAAGGGGATTTGATGGATTGAAGAGGAGCACTTCCTGAGCCAGCCAGGAATTCAGGTTGTTTCCTTCCCTGTGGGCATTTACTAGGTCTCAGCAAGGTTTAAAGAATGAGTTTGTAAAGGATTGGAAGGATTGGTCTAAGAGAAAGTGGAAGTAACAGAGCTTTTCAAGGTCACATAGATTAGAATAGAGGAATAAAAACCAGGGAAGCTAAAGCCACAGCTGAAGCTTACCATGGAGCATTTGAAAAATGCCTCAAGTGGAAAAAGGACTGAACTCTGAAAGGCAGACAGTAAATTCACCTGCAGATAAGTGGTTCTTAGGATCCACATTATAGCAAGGGCCAAATAGATTCTGTGCTTACTAGTTCTATGTCAACTTGACACAAACTAGAGTTATTTGGGAAGAGGAACTCTCAGTTAAGAAAATGCCTCCACAAGACCAGCCTGTAGACAAACCTATAATGTGTTTTCTTAAATAATGATCGATGTAGGAGGGCCCAGCCCATTGTGGGTCATGCTACCCCTGGGCAGGTGGTCCTGGGTACTATAAGAAGCCAAACTGAACAAGTAATGAGAGCAAGGCAGCAAGAAATAGTCCTCTACGACCTCTGCTTCTTTTTAGTTCCTGCCCTGACTTTACTGGACGATGGACAGCAAGCTTTAGATGAAATGAACTTTGTCCTCCCCAAGTTGTCTTCTCTACTCATATTCAAAACATGGCAACCATCGTGAGAAGGAAGTTAGTATCTGTCTTAATTAAAGTTTCTATCTGTCTCTCCTCATGGTCTTGTGTGCCATCCCTGCCTGGGACTGGCTGCTCTCAGGACCCCAGGCTGATCAGGACCTGCCACCCACTGCTGTCACTTGGGAACCTGCAGCATTTCTGCTGCTGCAGCCACTTGGGGATCTGCAGCATTTTTACTTAATCCATTACACACAGTATTAAAATAATGACTAAGATAGGAGTTAACTGTCACTAGGGAAAGAGCCTGCTGCGGTATACATGCTTAATACCAAAACCACAGCAACACTCATGCCATACATGAGATGATGTACTAGGCAATCAAAGAACTACTTCTTTCCAGTTAGAAGAAACATGTCCTACTTCTGTTTCTAGTGATAGTTATTATTCATAATATACTTTATCTTTAAAAGCAATTCACTATGATTCACCCTAGAAGTGAGTTTATATGCTTGGGGTTAATGTGTAATTCATTGTAGTTATTATTTCATGACTAAGAGTTTACATTAAAATAGTTTAAGATTTTAGCCTACGATTTCATCTTAAGTATCTCAAATACGTAATTTAAAAAGTCACTAAGAAATTCTTTGACAAAATGTTTGTCATACTT